ACAAAAATATTACAAAAAAAACCAGGAAAAAGAATTGGAGGAAAAAAAATCTGCAATTGTCACTTATTGGATGTATTGCCGCTATTAAAATAAACCTATTGCTGAGATTATTATTCTTATTCCAAGTAGCCCCAATAAAACCAGGAAAAAGAATTGGAGGAAAAAAAATCTGCAATTGTCACTTATTGGATGTATTGCCGCTATTAAAATAAACCTATTGCTGAGATTATTATTCTTATTCCAAGTAGCCCCAATAAAACCAGGAAAAAGAATTGGAGGAAAAAAAATCTGCAATTGTCACTTATTGGATGTATTGCCGCTATTAAAATAAACCTATTGCTGAGATTATTATTCTTATTCCAAGTAGCCCCAATAAAACCAGGAAAAACACAGTTGCTAATTTTTATCACAACTACTTTCTCTTGCTTCTAACTTAAAAAAAATCTCTCTATACAAGGACAATCATTAAAAAAGATGCTTATCATCCAGAACTCAAGGCAAAGGTGCTATTATCATTCATATGATCCACAAATTATAACAAAGGATAGAAACATAAATTATTTGTCTTTTTTGTTATGTAAAATTTTCAGTTTTATGATGAATTTCAGTCATTGGTTACTATGTTTACCTCCTGAATTAAGTTTGTTTTCCACAGAGTACTTTCTCAATGAATAGTTTATGAGAAACTGGCTCTTTATTTAGAATTAATGAGCAGAAATGGTGATCCAGCTCATTGAATTTAATCAGGACTTGCTACACAATAGCACTTATTTTGGCCAGCAGCTGCTGAAAGCTAATTTTGCCTCATTCATTTTAGACCAGCTAAGAATTTTTGTTTCTTTCTGTTCTTGAAAGACACCCAACTAATTATTTCCCTTAGAATCAAAGCTTCTTTTCTCCTCGCAACTAACCATCTGATTAATCACCAAATCCATGGGTTTTCATTACCTTAGTTTTGTTAGGATGAATCTCAGTGAGTACAGGATGAATCTTGTCCGTCTCATAAGCAAGCACCTTTATTTTTAACCCAGCTGTGGTAGAAACTCATACAATGAACATAATCTGTAAGAAATCTTTTAAGTTCAAGCAAACATTAACTATACCTTATGATGTACAAACAATGGATCTAGTTAAGGTATTCTTTAAAAAGATAAAGGATTACTCCTGTATTTCTATCTTTGTAGATTTCTGGGCTGTTACCATTGCTGAATGGATTTGTCAGACTGTTTCCTATCTTTTTGATAGTTTATGACGCCTTGGACAAATAAAACTGCTATTTAATGGTTTCTAAAGGTAAAGGTAAAGATTCCCTTTCCACATATGTGTTACTTGTTCCCAACTCTAGGGGAAAGTGCTCATCTCCTTTTCAAAGCTGAAGAGCCAGCGCTGTCCGAAGACATCTCCGGGGTCATATGGCTGGCATGACTAAATGTCAAGGT